GACATGGTGTCTCTTCAATAAATGGTGCCAGGAAAAGTGGACCGCCACGTGCAAAAGAATGAAAGTAGACCACTATCTTACACCATACCCAAAAATTAACTCAAAATGGATCAAAGACTTGAATGTAAGACCTGAAACCATAAAACTCCTAAAAGAAAACATAGGCAGTACACTCTTTGACATGGGTCTTAGCAGTATCTTTTTGAATATCATGTCTCCTCAGGCAAAGGAAACAAAAGAAAAAATAAACCAATAAAAAAGAAAAAATAAATAAATGGGACTACGTCAAACTAAAATGGATGATGTCAAGCTTCTGCAAGGCAAAGGAAATCATCAACAAAATGAAAAGATAACCCACCAACTGGGAGAAAATATTTGCAAATCATATATCCAATAAGGGGTTAATATCCAAAATATATAAAGATTATGCTGCTGAGTCAGAAATTTTTCTAGGAGGTAATATTTTATAAGAGAATAATAAACTATTCTTCTGAAGAAACCACTAATAATCTTAATAATTGTTTATGATACACACTTGTACATAATTTCAGGGAAAGGGGAGTTACTTTGTAGCCATGATTCCAATATACATTTCAGATGTGGGTTACCATATTCAGTATATCATTTAAACTGATTTATAACCAAGACAAAATGCCAAATTTTCCCACACTGAAAGATCTAGTAAAAGATCTAATCCAAACCAGAATCTCCTAGGGAGTAGAATCAAAAAGGTATCATTAAAAAATCCAATTTTTTATGGTATCTAGAATTTTCTTGTATGTTGCTAGAAAAGTAGCAATAGATGGAAAACTAGAGTCCTTCTTTATGCAAAGATACATCTGTTACAATATGATTTCATTGCATCTTACATGTTTTATAGTAAATTAAACCACTTATTTCGTATGGACTGTGTTGCTTATATATTAAATGTCATGAAATCTGTGGACACACCAGCTTTTTAAACTACTATTTTGTTTATATTAGGTATTAAAAGTAGTCCAACTCATAGAAAGCAGAATGGTAGTTGCCACAGGCTGGAGGGACAGTGGATAAACAATAAAGGGGAGTTATTGTTTAGTGGGTACAGAGTTTCCGTTTTTCAAGATGAAAAGAGTTCTAGGGATGGATGCTAGTGTTGTTTGCACAACAATGTGAATGTACTTAATATTCACTGGACTGTACATTTAAAACTGGATAAAATGGTAAAATTCATGTTAAAATGGTAAATGTATTAAAGGAAAGGAAAGGAGGGGAATCTAGGGTGAGGCATTTAGGCAAAAGTCCAGCCGGCTGTGAAAAAGCGAAATTGGGAAAATTGGGAGTTTACATAGACACACAGGATTCAGTTCGGCTCAAGTGATGACTGGCCTGGCTTGGCAGGAAAGGAGTTTGTGGGAGGAAAGGAGTTAACACTAGTGTCCCATGGTTTATACCAACAGGCTGGATGAAGTGTGAGAGTTTTGAATGCATATTTTTGTGAACATTCTGAACAATAGTTTTTAAACCACACCTGAGTGTAGTATTAAACTCAGTACAGGCATTAAATTTCACACTTTCACTCTTGTTTTTATTATTCCACCTCTGTTTTTTTCCCCTGCTATTCTTTAAAAACTAGGCAAGTTTCTGGCTCTCTCTCTCCAGGTTTGACTATAATCCAACATAAACATGCTTCAATATTTTAAAGTAACCCTACTCCCAGAGCCGGTCAACTTTTTCATTTTTTTACAAACTTTTTCCTCCACATTTCAGTTATCTATTGCTATGCAAAACAACAACAACAACAAAAAACAAGCTACCACAAACCTTAGCAACTTAAAACAGCAACAAACAACTATTTCTCAAGAATCTGTGGCCTGGCTTGTCTTAAGTGGGCAGTTCCCACTTGGTAATGTCTGGGGTTACACATGTGGTGCCTTCAGCTAGGAGCTTAGCTGGGGCTGGAACATGCAAGGTGAGTTTCTTTATATGGTGACTGGATCCCAAGACAGTGAAAATGGAAGCTTCAAGTCCCAGAAGTCACACAGCAGCAGTTCAACTGCATTCTATGGGTCAAAACGAGCCCCAAGGGCAGCCTAGGGACAAAAGCAAGGAATACAGACTCCACCTCTTGATGGTAAAAGTGGCATGAATTCACAGGAATGGGAGGAATTGTTGGTGGCTGTATTTGCAGGCAAACTACTACTCCATATACAGATAACTCGTGCCACATGGAATATTCTGCTTGAGAATGGGTCCAATTAAAATTTGGAGGCTTTTTTTTTTTTTTTCAGATTTTTTATTTATTTATTTTCCCCCCCAAAAGCCCCAGTAGATAGTTGTATGTCATAGTTGCACATCCTTCTAGTTGCTGTACGTGGGACACGGCCTCAGCATGGCCGGACAAGCGGTGCGTCAGTGCACGCCCAGGATCCGAACCCGGGCTGCCAGCAGTGGAGCGCAAGCACTTAACCACTAAGCCACGGGGCCGGGCCCTAAAATTTGGAGGCTTTTCATCAAGTTTCATATTTAGCAGGATTATGTAATTCTTATATGGGAAATAGTATAGTATAAGTTATAGTTTTATATAAAACTCTGCACCCATTGAAGAGAAAATGAACTTTTCTTTTCTTTTTTTAATTTTATTTATTTATTTTTCCCCCAAAGCCCCAGCAGATAGTCATATGTCATAGTTGCACATCCTTCTAGTTGCTGTATGTGGGACGCGGCCTCAGCACGGCCGGAGAAGCGGTGCATCGGTGCGCGCCCGGGACCCGAACCCAGGCCGCCAGCATTGGAGCGCGAGCACTCAACCACCAAGCCACAGGGCCGGCCCTGAACTTTTCTTCTCAAGTACACACAAGGGATGGGCTGTGAGGTTGGGCGTGTGAGTTGGAATATTGGCTCTGCCAGGTACTGACAGTAGGATCTTGAGCAATTTTCCCTTTCAGTCTCACACTTTTCTCCTCTGAATTAAAGGATTGTTGTGAGGATTAAATGAGTCAACATATGTAAAGCGCTTAGAAAAGAACCGGGCACACAGTAAATATATAATAAATATTGACTTTAAGAACCTAAATTATCATTAGCTATGATTATGTAACATTGCAATACCTGTTTGGATTAAACCTCCTGGAGCTGCAAAGTTCTCTGTTCTCTGTAGTCTTGTTACACTTAATCATGAATCCTGATTACTTCTCCTGCCACTCCCACCTCTTGCGAAATAAAAAGGTAGGTGAAACAACCTGTCGATTAACAGGTGTCCTAAACTTTTAAACAGGTGTTACCAACTTTTAAACATCGATCTATACCCAGAAATATAATTTACATTGTAACCCAGGACATTGTAACCCACTCACTCACCCACACCTAACACTGTACAAATGTTTCATGAAACAATACTTAACCTCAAGTTGTGCTATGAACTCTGATGTTTTTGTTCTACTCCATTTCAGTGAATCAATAACAACAAAATGTGGGTTGTGACCTACTATTTTTAATTTCATTACCTCCTGAAGTGTTCTAAGCTGTATATTATAGTCATTGGCTAATAGGATATTAAACACACTTTCAGCCTAGAAATTGTTTCAAGTATGGTGCTATAACCATATGGCATATATCATTTCCATACAGGCCAATTCAATTACAGAGCAAAAAGCTCTTTCACAAATATGGCCTGACATCCCTACTCAAGAGGCTTCACGAATTCTTTCAGTGGGACATGGGGGACGAGGGAGGCATGGTGACAATGTTGTATTTTTTGGTACCATGAGAAGCAAAGTGCCTTGTTTGTTTGGAGCTGGAGGGACTAGGCTGGAATTCCAACTTTACAACTTACTACCTTATATTTTTGAGCAAGTTATTTTAACTCAGTGTTGGAGTCTTGGTTATTTGACTCGTTAAAGTAATACACAAATGATATCTGTGAGCATTAAATGAGGCCCAGCAGAGTGTCTGGCACAAAGAAGGCTCTCAGAATGCATTTGCTTCCTCCTCCTACCAGGGAACACAAACTCCAGAATTCATGGCTGTCATTTAGGTTCTGTATTTTATATTTTTGGAAGAAAGCTAAGACTGGTAGCATACTTACTATGGTCAAATCCTATTATTTCTTTAATGCAATTTAATTTCTACAACCATGTATTGTCCGATATTCTACCTAATAATAGTTAACAACAATAATTAATAGTTATTCATTATTCTAGAATCTGGATCTGAATTATGAAACAATTTTGTGTTCTCAGGTTTTGTACAGTGGGGTTTGCATTGCCTTCTCAGTTATCAACACAATCGTGGAACAAATGTGTAGAGGAGAAAAATATTTCTAACTGTTATGTGGCTAAATAATTTAAATAAAAGTGATGTGCAAAATACAAGCACTGTTTTTCTCGTTGGATCGAACATTTAGCGTTGCCAGCTGTCTAGGGCTCCGGACAGGTAGTATTTTCCTGGTAGGTTAGCTAGCTTTTAGGGAGTCTAAAGAGACTTGCCCAAGATCTTAGGTTGATAAGACCATCTCATACATCCTAGCCGGTGGCTCTCTAGAATGGGACTGGTTATTTTAAAATTTCTGCCTTGAAGGTTAGGATTATGAAAGATGCGTGTGAATAGGGGGAAAGAGGGAGTGACACGTTTTCTCTCCTGGGGTGCTGCTTGGCGCCGGCCGCCAGCACTGCGGCTCCCACGTGGCAAGTCCAGACTGCGCAGCGCGGAGTGGGGGGCGGGGGGCGGGACCGCCGAGCCCTCCCTCTGCTCTCCGGCCCTTCCCTTCGGCCTGCCGGGGCGCCCGCTCGGTCCTCCACCGCCAGGGGGCGGGCGCGGCTTCCCGGCGGCGGGGGCCCATTGGTCACGGCGGGGAAGCGGGGGAGGAGGCTCAGCGGCGAGCTGGCTTCTTCCTGGCCACTTTCGGGGGTGAGGGGAAGCCGGAGGAGCCCGGGAGGAAGCGGAGGAGCGAGCGGGAGGCGGCGGCGGCTCCCGTCGGCCTCCGGCAGGACTGAGCGCGAGGAGGCCGGCTAGCGGGCGCGCGCGGCGGAGAGGCGGAGGGGAGGCCGGTGAGACGCCCGGGGAGGCGGACGGAGCCGCGGCCGAGGGCGGGGAGGCTGCAGGAGCCGGCCGCCTGCCTTCATCTTCATCCTCCGCTCGCTCCGCGACCGCTGGCCGGGGGCGGGCCCCGGGGCGCGCCTAGGTCGCCGTGGAGCCTCCCGCCGCGGGGCGGGCGCGGGCTGGACCGGGACACTCAGATCGCCATTGGCCGGGGTCCGGGCCGACGCCCCGGCTCGGGCAGCCCCCGCCTGGCGTCCCCCTCCCCGGGCTCCTCGAAGGGCGGGGCGGCGCCTGCACCTGGCTCCCGGGCTGGGCTCTCGGCCTGGGGCTGGCACCTGGGGCGCGCGTTCAGCGGGGGCTCCCGTGCGCGGTCGGAAACGGGTCGAGCGCTCTAGAGAGAAAGGGATGCAGTTGAATGTTGCATTTGAATTCGGTGGAGGGTGTCTTGGCTCACTTGCAAAGTTTTAGTGTCTCCTAAACTGGAGGTACTTTTTATTTTTAAAACCTATCCAGCCCATTGATGTTCTGTATCACTGATGAATGGGCTATTCCTTCTTTCTTTCCATTTGTTTGCTACTATCCTCACAGTTTTCTACCATGTGTGACCATTAGTGACCCGAGATCTAAATAATGTGACAGGTTGACGATTTGAGGTTGAGATCTGCAGCTGTGATTTTTTTCATCATCTACCTTTTTAAAAATTATTTCTATAATACAGAACTGCTATCTGAACTTTTTCTTTTTTTTTCATTTAGTCAGAAAAAATGATACTAGATAATATTAGATTGCTTACTAGGCATTGTGGTAAGTGCTTTTCATATGCACATTTATTTCTCACAGCCCAAAGAATAGGTCTTTTTATCTGTCTCCCAATTTTACCGATGAAAATATGACCTCTCCTGGAGGTTACAGGTTGATGCTGACAGTGGATCCCAGACTCCATGGGCCCTCTACCACTTTGTGGGGCTGTTGGTATACTGTCACATTTTCCAAGTTTTGGAAAACATTACTGTTGTCCCTAGAGTGCATTACAGAGTACAAAGGGATCTCCATTTAACTTCGAAAATAAAAGTTAATAAGCCATTCAACAAGAAATTGGCAGAATCGGCATCCGGTTTTAGTCATATCTTTGACTACCTCTTTCTAAAGGCTGTCAGCCTCTTGAGGTCTCTTGCTGTTTACTCATTAAGTCAGTTTTTTTCAGCTTTATACAGGTCTTAGAAGCTTTGTTTCACAAAATTCTGTGTAATGTTTTCTCAGCTCATTAAAGACTAGCATTTCTTGATAGTAAGAAATAAAGAGTTTAAGGCAGTGATTCTCAACCTGGGGACCTCTCAGAATCACCCACAAGTGGGGCTCTTTAAAAAGGACATAGGCCAGGTTCCCCCCAAATCCCCAGTGTAGGGGGCTTCTGTTTAAAAGGGAGTCAAAATAAGACTGAGCACCACTGGGTTAAAGTGACTTTCAAAATAAACTTAATGGAGGTTTTATTACAGTTAAAAAGTTTTACTCTAGATTGCTACCTTAAGCCTTGCTAACTAATCTTTTCATAATTAATGAAGATACATTAAAAAGGAAAAGGTAATTGGAGAGTGGGTCAAAGGGCTAAGAGATTGTTGAATGGCAGAAAGTCGTGTTCCCTGTGGGGGATCATAAGAGTCTTATTTTTTTACCACATATTTTAGGTTTTAAATGGTGAGTCTCAGTATTCCAAAATTTTTACATTCATTTAAAAATATGAGAGGGCCTACTATGTGCCAGTAATTATAGGAATCATGGGGGCTATGAATAAGACAGCCTGGACCCTCACAAAGCTACTTTACTTTCTCGGAGGCAGTGAATCTTTCTTTTTTTCTTTTTATTTATTTTTTTAATGCCCATTTCTGAAAGCTGAAAGGTGCAATACCCAAGAAGCAAAAGATTTTGGTCTCAGGTCTTAGAAAAATCCACCTAGCTCAGAGCTGAGTACAATAGCAAAAATTTATCTTGAACTTAGTCCAGAAGGGTTCCTGTCCTTGGGATTAGATAGTCTGGATTTTAAGCAATAGCTCTGCATTTAGTTCATGAATGGCATTGACCAAATTAGTTAATGTCATGCAATACCTTATTTTCTTAATCTGGCTGGGAGATTGACCAGGATTCCCAAGATCTTTAAACTTTAAAAGGTTTGGGGATTTTTATTCGGCTTCTAAAATACAGTCAGCTGACTTGAGTCTCTCAGAAGAGGAAATTAAGTGTTCCAGTACCTCTAAGTTTCCACAGCTACCTCATCAGTATTCTTGCATTCTCTTCCTCATTGGCCTCTTCCATTTGATTGAAGCTATTAGATCACTTGCATCTCCCTTTTTCTAATCTAATTAATTTTCATTATTTTTCTAGTTTCACTCTGAGTTTTTTCTTTTCAATTTCCTTTTTTAAAAAATTTAATTCATATAACATAAAATTTGCCATTTTAAAGTACAATTCAGTGACATTTAGTACACTCACAGTGTCGTACAATCGTCACCTCTGTCTAGTTCTAAAACATTTTCTTCACGCCAAAAGAAAACTTCATATCCATTAAGCAGTTATTCCCCTTCCCCCCTCCCTCCAACCTTTGGCGACCACTAGACCACTGTCTCTCTGGATTTACCTGTTCTGGGTACTCCCTATAAATGGAGCCATACAATGTGTAATCTTCTGTGTCTGGCTTCTTAGCATAATGTTTAGAGGTTCATCCATGTTGTAGCATGTATCAGTACTTCATTCCTTTTTGTGGCTGAATAATATTCTGTGTATGAATACATACCACATTTTGTATAGTCATTCTTCCATTGATGGAGCCTGGTGAGTTTCGTGTGCTCATGAGGAAAAGTTGTATGGACATCTATAGCAATGAATCTGAATTGATTTTCATAATCAGTTCTACAAGGCTTATTAAGGTAGTATCATGGTATCAGGTGTACTACCTAACTATCAATACCATCCATCATCTGCAGTTAAGTGATCATTAAATGTGTTTTGAAGGATCTGTGGTCAATGAAAATGAATCTTTTAGTTGATTCAGACATTTTTACACTAGAAGCTTCTTACTACCTGTTCTTTGCAAATGGCTGCTAACTTACCTTCTTGTTTTTTTGGTAGAAGTGGTGTGCTATCCAGGGCCCTTGGGCAGATGGAACCACTCTGCTCTTCCTTCTACACTTAGAAAGTTTGACTGACAGAATTGTGTCTGCCCTGGTGCAGTTCAGTTCTGCAGACTGCTGAAAGGCGATATAAGTGGAGTGGATACGTAGGGGACTTCTTAAACATTTATTCAGAATAGGAACTTGTAACTTCTTGTCTGACACAATGTAAAATAGTTACGTGAGATGAGAATAGTTATACTGTATGTAAATTTGTGCCTTTCTCTAATCTTTTTGTAGCAATTTATGAACTAGACACTACTTATATTCAACTTCTTAGAGTTAAAATATTTAGTTTTATTTTTGCCATTGTTCTCAATGAGATCTATGTTTTTCTTTTCTTTCTTTTCTATCTATCCTTCCATCCATCCATCGTTCTTTTCCCTGGGTGGTGTAGTGTAGGATTAAGGTAGTTTAGATTACAACTGTTTAATAACAATCACAGAACTCTGAAGGAGCAGGCAGAACCACATGTCATTTTGCCTTGTTTTCTGTTTTGGGTATGTTTGTGCTCTCAGTTACAGATATCTGATCACCATTTCATTTCAACTGGATTAGGACTTTTTTTTTTTGTGAGAAGATCAGCCCTATGCTAACATCTGCCAGTCCTCCTCCTTTTTTTGTTTGCTGAGGAAGACTGACCCTGGGCTAACATCCGTGCCCATCTTCCTGCACTTTATATGGGATGCCTGCCACAGCATGGCTTGCCAAGCGGTGCCTCGATGCACACCGGGGACCCGAAACGGTGAACCCCAGGCCGCCGCAGCGGAGCGCATGCACTGAACGGCTTGTGCCACCGGGCTGGCCCCTGGATTACAACTTTTAGAGCAAAATTCTGCTTTGATAGATGAGGAAAAACTGCAAGAAAACATTTGGGTAATTTTAAATCTAGCACTCTGTTGGAACCATTGCAAACAGGAGTTCTCTGCTCTGCTCCTCAGCACATTATCTCCAGATTTATTCCCTGCCCACCTCTCCCTCCTCATCTCCACAGGAGACCTGGCCCAGAGTCGGGCTGATTTCCATTCATTGTTAAGGAAAGAATGAAAATTCTTGGCATGATTTTTACCTTTGGGCTTTTTGTGGCTTAGATCTGCCTGGCTCTTTTTCCCTCTAATCTCTGTGTTTGGGTTGGTGTACTATGGATCTGAGATGCTCAGATCTGAGCGGGCATGAGAATCACCTGGGGAGCTCCTTAAACATGCAGATGTTTTCATCCTCACTCCTAGGGATTCTGGGCTCAGGAATTTGCACTTTAAAAAGGCCACCAGTAATTGAGGTGTCCATGCTGCGAGTTACACTGTAGTTAGAGCTTCAAAGAACCAGAGATGATGTTGCACTGAATCTAAGATGTTTGTAAGGTACACCATTATTTTATATGCTACTAAGGAAAAAAAAAAATGTGATTTTAAGCCTCATCCCAATTTAGGACGTTAAAATGAGAATCAGTAAAATAGAATCAATAAAATAGAATGTTAGGTGCCTGAGGAACCACCGCCTCTCTTGTTATGGTAAAAGATTATTATGAAGCATAAATAAAAAATTATAATGCCACATTTCTTCAGACCTTTTACCATGTAAAATACTTGTTTATAATAGAATTTAATGTAAGATGTCCTTACTTGACATTTATTTGTAATGAAGATTATACTGATGACGTTGTTCTAAAATGCACCTTAGTTGTATTGTAGGGTGTAAAGCACTTCAGTTTGGCCCCATTATTTTCATTTTACCCATTTACAGTCATTTACGTGTTGGTAGTTCAGTTCAGAAGTCTTATTTCTAGTTGCTTTGTACTTCAGTGATTTCCATTTTGTAATTACAGTCCACTGAAATATTTACTT